AAAAGCCAATATTGCAATATATATTCAATGGGATTCTGCAGACTGGATATGAGACCAGTATTCCTTGACAAGCTGCCCAAATAGGGAGCCTTCTCTTTTCATTAAATTCATTGGCTCATCATACTCCATTATTTGTCCTGAAATAGACAACCATTTTCATTCAATGTTTCTCTGATATTTTTTCCAACAATTATGATTGAACAAAACAACTGATATATAGATGAGCATTTAACTAATGAAACTCACCATCACTAATGGCAAGAACCATTGTGCAATCCATCACAGTCGGTATCCTGTGAGCTACCGTAATCACGGTACAATCTGCAAATTCAGTCCGTATAGTTTTCTGTAGAATCATATCGGTGGCATTGTCGATCGATGCGGTTGCTTCATCAAGCACCAGTACCCGACTTCTCCTCAAAAGAGCACGCCCCAAACAGAACAATTGCCTTTGTCCCATGCTCCAGTTTGATCCATCATCTACAACTGCAAATCAGGTCATCAGTTGCTACTGCTGATCACAATTTACAGGCAAAATTGCACATCACACACTGATATATCAAAACTTACCTAAGGAGTCTAAGCCACCTTTCTCCTGAACAGCATCTCGAAGCTGACACTTCCCAAGAACCTTCATAATGTACAGATAACTCTTTGCTTAGAGAAATTTGCAACCATACTTTCAACATTCAAAACCAAATATTACAGAAAACAAGCATTATAGGACTTGTCTTGTACCTCCCATATTTCCTGGTCTGAATGTTGGGATAAGGGATCCAAATTGTATCTCACAGTCCCATTGAAGAGAGTAGGATCTTGAGGTATTATTCCAAAACGTGACCTCAGATCATGAAGTCCGATTGTAGAGATGTCAATGCCATCAACTATGATCTTCCCTCCGGCTGGCTCCACCAGACGAAACAGAGCACCAATGAGAGTCGACTTCCCACTGCCAGTTCGACCAACAATACCAATCTTGTGTCCTCCTTCAAATATGCAACTGATCCCACGAAGAACAAGTGGTGTATCGGCCCTGTATCTGATCTGTTTTTATATCAAAAGTATCAGTCATCTACTTTAACTCTAACCTTGTTTAGTTATAACACAAAAGCTGCCAATATTTACCTGCAAATTTTGTATCTCCACTTTACCGAAAAAAGGCCAGTTGGCTGGGGGACGGCTTCCTTCTACTATTTCAGGGGCTTCGCTCGGTATATGGGTGTATTGATTTAGTCTTTCAACAGAAATGATATAATTTGCTATAGTGCACTGGTTCTGAATTGAAAACATCAAGGACATGTTTAATGAAAGACCATATGAAAGTGCCATTCCAATGAATCCTGCAGTGACACAGTAAATTGTATAAGGCTCGTTTTGACAACAACAAAATTGTATAAGGCTCCATAGCTTAAATTATGCTACAAATATAAATCATCTCTAGTGATTTTCTGTGCAACAAAAGATGTCTAAAATACTAGAAGATAGCAACAATGACTTCTTTCCCCTTTAGCCAGGCAATTCCAGGAAAACTTAAAAACTTACCAGAGCTAAACGTTCCAGGAGGAAGCAAACTCATGCATAGTGCTGCAGAAGAAAGAACTGCTGCACTGAGTATTTCTAACCGTTGGATCAACCATTCATTTGCCGCAAAACTGTGAAAAAAAGGACTAGCATTTGTGTCAATGAGGTCAAATTGTAATGGCTCCCGAGACAGACTCCGCTAGATGGTTTGCTACATAGGACTTAGTTGTGCCATTGATCCGCATCAACTCTTTTCCAGTGGAAAAGTAGTATTTCTGAAAATAAAAAATGTTGTATTTAATCAAGTTATTTTCAAAAGAAAGCACATTTCTCTGCTCTTTCAATTTCATATTCAGATACTTCCTAAATTCCTAATAGATAGAAGCATAACCATTCTTAACATTAACATGTGAATAGCATCGTGTAGCCAGTTAAACGAATATAGTAGCTTCTGCCGTATAACATATGAAAGAACCTTGTATAGTATTACCTGTAGGCAAATTGCCAGATAGACCATTGGTATGGAGACAAACAGGACTTGCCAGGTAACAACAGCCAGTACTCCGAGATTGGAATAAGCATTTATGGTAGCCCCACAAGCAAAGACCAGGCTGAATGGAATATCAAGGTCTATGATACTCAGATCAGATGAAACCTATTCAAGAAAAATGTAATACATAAATTTATTAGTTCCTTGAGTTCCTCCTAATCTGTACCCAAACTTTCTGTTTGAAATGCATACCCGACTAAGTATCCTTCCCAGAGGTGTTGAGTCATAAAACGACATAGGCGCACGAAAAAGGGAATTTAGTAGCTGTGAGAATAAAGACTGAGATGCCTCAAGACCCAGAACAACTGTTATAAGAGATCTGAACAGTAAAATAAATGTTGCAGAAAATCCAATCAACAAGTAAACCATGATCAATCGCAATGTGCTAACATCAGGATTATCCACATTAGCAGCCATCCACGAGTTCTGTACAATCTGACTAATAACAAAAATAAGGTGTAAAAGAACTGCTGTTGAGAAGTACAAGAACCCATTTTTCTGTTTCAGATACTGTATGAATGGCTTCAACCCTATGTCTCCCGTTTCTCTCTCTTCTTGTTTAATCAATTGGTCACCCTTAGATGATTTAAGTTGCTTTTCTACATATGCCTTCTTAATCTCTCTGGACGATATTCCACTTTGGGCAGAAGTGGCATCTGCAATCCTGTCAGAACCAGCAGTTTCTTTGTGTGCATTGACAAGGTCCTGAAATTCTTGGCTTGAGTCCAATAGATGGTGATAAGGAGCTGCATGTAGGATTTCCCCATCAAGCATCAACTGTCAACAAAATTGAACTTGTGTTATTATGTAGGAGTAACAGCTTCTGCTAAGTGACTAACTAGTCATATACTGAGCTGAAACACAACGCATGATAAAATAACTACAACCCTCGTAGGTTGATTGAAAATGTGTTTTCTTTTTTGCTACAATCACAATGTGCAATTGGCTGAAGGGAGCGTAGAATAGGAAATGGCTAGCCCCTGCCGATTAATAGATTTGAAATAAATGGATTTATGGAAAGAAAAAAAAAATGGAGAAATAGCCTAGAGTTAATGGTAGACTAACCAAAACAGAATCAAATGCAGGCAGGAAATCAACTTGATGGGTCACAAGTAAGACAGTCTTCCCTGAAAGTGCTTCCATAACATATTCCTGCCAAAATACAAATTAGCTTTCACTAAAAGCCAGAAGTTAATAAAGAAGGGCACTGCCCATGTTAGGAAAGTGTATTTACATTGAATAAGTTTGCAGCAGTATGTGCATCAACTGCACTGAATGGATCATCCAAGAGATATATATCAGCATTCTGATAGAGAGCCCGGGCAAGCTGAATTCGCTGCTTCTGACCACCACTCAGATTGACCCCTCTCTCCCCTATTTCAGTGAGGTCACCATAAGGAAGCAGCTCCAGATCCTTTACAAGTGAACATCTCTCAAGTGTCTCTCGGTATCTTTCACTATCCATAGCAGAACCGAACAAAATATTTTCTTGTATCGTCCCTGTTTGGATCCATGCTGTTTGAGAAACATAGGCAATGGTCCCAAAAACTTGAATCTGATAGTCATAAAGATAACTTTATGATGATAATTTTAGAAAGCCTGTGGGACTTAAAGTGCAAGTAATATCTGTTGAGAGAGTTCTGACAAAGTATAACTGTATTTTCTAGTTATCAAGGGAAAAAAATAGCAACTTACACTTCCTCGAACATTTGGAATTTCTCCCAGAATTGCAGCTAGAAGGCTTGATTTTCCGGAGCCGACTTCTCCGCATATAGCAACCTTTTCACCAGGCCGAACCTCTAAGTTTATATTTCTCAGGGTGGGCTTTGATATATTATCCTCCCATGAAAAATTAGCTGACTTGATAAGAATGGAATGGGCTACATTCTCCATGTTGCATTTCCGGACATTTGCAGTCTGCAGTTCTGGTGCCTCGAGGAATTTTACAATACGTTCAAATGCAACCTTGGCTTGAATAACAACCCCAATGACCTCAGGAATAGATCTAATTGGGTCCTGAACAAGGCGTAAAGTTGCCACGAAAGTGAAAACATTATTTGCATGCAACGGAACCTTGAGAAAATAACATGCTCCAAATGTAGCAGCAGAGACCAAAACAGGGGATGACCAAAAGAGGTAGGAATTATACGCTTTTCTTAACTGCACTGCCGATAACCATTTGTACTCCGCCTTCCTTAACTTTTCTATCGCATTCTTGAAATGGGTCTCCCATGCATATAGTTTTAACACTTTCATATTCACAAGAGCCTCAGAACTAGCCTTTAGCCTTTCATCTTGTGCCTCCATTAGCTTACTCTGAAACTTATGTTGTAGCTTGGCAAGTGGAGCATTGCAAACCACAGTCAAAACTATCACCACCAACGCTGCGAATGTAGCTAGGCCAACGGCACGGAAAAGAATTACCAATGCAAGACACAGCTGGAGGCTAGTGGTCCAAGTCTGATGGAACCAAAATGGGAATTCTCCAATCCTATAAGCATCCACTGTAACATAATTCGTTATCTCACCACCTGAGTGTATTAACTTAGCAGCATTAGATAATCTTAATTGCTTCTTGTAAATGGCTGATGTAAGCAAAGACTTAACTTTCAAACCAATAAGCCTGGATCGTAAGTACCACTGCCTTTGTGACAAGGATTCAATTGTCTTTGAAAGGAAAAGTGTAATGGCTAACACATAACCTTCGTATCTGAAACTTTCATTTCCTTCAGCAACCAGAATGAAGGCATTTAGAAGCATAGGACCAGCTGAGACAGTGAGTACCTTTATCAAAGCAAAGAAGCCAGACAAGAGAATCTCTTTCCAGTGGCATATGATTACTGTCTTTAATACTGAAGGTTGGGAAGATGGTTGAATTTGCTTCTCTTTGTTTAGTTGCTCCAAGAACTGCAAATAACAACTTTCTGCTCGATCTTCCTCACGCAACTTGGGTATATCTTCTTCCTCTAGAGTTTTCTCCCTACCCTTTTTCATCAATGAATTTAGCCACCAAATTGAGGCTTTGCTGAAAAATCCAGCTTTGCTAAATGGGGTAACATGAGCACTTTTACTGATGTCATTGGACTCGCCATTCAGAGGAGTATAAAGGCCATTTCCATTGATGCCCTCATCACCATCTTCATATGGATGCCCCTTATAAACACATAACAACAACAATGTTGCTCCTGGAAAAGACAGGACATCTAATACGGTCTTCACTGATAACTCTTTTCTGAAAATGGCAGCAAAAAGCGATAGAGCACAGACAATTGCAGAAAACAAGAATGCAAGGATAGACAATAGTCTTGCCGGTTGTCTTGGAAGTTGTTTTCCCCGGATGCTTACAGTCAAACCCACAAACAACCATGTGAGCCCTTGAAACAACGCAAGTAGCCACCAATTCAAAGGCAAAGCGGTTTGTGTATTCCTCAGCTTCTCTTCCAGAATCCAGATTCCCAAGCCCAAGTACACAATTCCAAGACAGCCATTAGCAAGGGCAGAGACCATTTGCAAACCCGAAAGGTCTCGAAATCGGGGTGGAATGTGACCTGTTTTTGATGAGGACTTGTGAAACATACTGAACACGAGCGCAACTAGTAGCAAAATGTCAAACCCAATTATCAACACATGATTGGTGCATGAAGAAGGATGAATCATAGACTCAAGATTGGAAGTGCATGGCTTTCCAGCTGTGCCTGAAGGACCAGATTCGCCACAAAATACAGTCCACAAATCCTCCATCATGCTTAAATTTACTCTGTAAGGTATACAATGCAAGAAGATATAATAAGAAACCTTGTCTAACCGGCTTAAAAACAATCAGATGATTAATAAAATTTTGATGGAAAAATGAAAACTCAAACAAGACATCAATGCAGTCCTTCCAATTCACAGATGAAACATAAAGCCAAGAGCATCAAAGACATTATTAACAAAGCCAAGTACGTAATGGGCACATAGTGATTGCCCCATACAACATAATTAGTTCACAATTAAGATTAAAGGGCATACCTGAAAATGGCCCAAGAACTGGACGCCCCCTTCCTCCTATTAGGCCTAAGCTAGTTAGGCAAAATAGTTCACACAAAGAAAATGGTCCGCCTACAAAACAACCAAACAATTCGTCACTGAGCTGTCTAAGCTCGAAAGTAAAGAAATTCAAGCGTAGTGATACTGCATTCGTCGGCTTCTGTATGAAACTACGAACGTGGGAGAAAAAACAGAAACGTGCATTTTCTTATCCTAAACCGCCCCGCACTGGACACGTGAAGCATTTGATCAAGATCCGTTCGGCATTAAAATAATAAAAGAAAACAATCTCGTTTTTGTTTTGTGCTCATTCTTGACAAATAATTTACAGCGACCACAAAGTTAAACAATGAAATAAAAAACAGAGGCAACATTCAAAGACCAATCAAACAACTTCCCATATAATATATACAAATTTATAATATAAGTATAAGAAAAATAATAATTAATAATGAGGGGTTGGACTAACCTGGAAACCCACGAAACCCGATGTCTTCAATGTCCTTTTGCAAACCCAGAATTTAATTTCTTCACTTTTTTAAGACGAAAGGTTGAAACTTGAAAATGGTTTGAGTTTTTGGTTTCTTGAAAA